TGACGTAATAATGTCGTTTTTGACGTATTTTATAACGTCAAAAAACGACATTCATACGTCATTATTTTTGCACCAACCTAATATTTTCCGTTAACTCCTTTTTCCTCCCAACATTGTCTTCTCTCGTTTACTTACCCCTCCTTTTTCCCCTCCCTCCTTCTCTTCTCTCATTCTCTACCCCCTCCTTCTTCCTCCCTACATTTCATTTTATCGTTCTCTACTGTGTTATTTCCTCCCCATCCTCTATTTTCTTGTTCTTTACCCTCTCCTTTTTCCTTCTCTTTTCTCCTGTTCTACCTTCTCCTTCTTCTTCCACGCCTTCTATATCCTTGTTCTCCAACCTTTCCTTCATCCTCTTCCCCTTCACATCTCGCGGTCTCTTGCCTCTCCTTCTCCCCCCCCCCCGTTCTCTACCATCTCATTCTTTCTCCTCACCTTCTCTTCTCTCGTTCTCTATTTTTCCTTCCCTGCCTTCTCCCCTCTTGTTATCTACCCTCGCCCTTTTTTCTCTCATTCTTTAGTCTCTCCTTCCTCCTCCCTTTACATATTCTCATCTCTCGTTCTCTTTCATTTGCTTTTGCGTCCCTATTTTCTCTTCTATCCTTCCCCACCCTGTCTTTTTTCCTTCCCATTTTTTCTTCTCTCATTCTCTACCCTCTTCTTCACCATCGCTAGCTTCAATTTTCTCGTTTTCTATCCCCTCTTCCTTCCTTCCGACCTTCTGTTTTCTAGTTCTCCACACTCTCCTTCAATACCTTCTTCTCAATAACCTCTCGTACTTCCTTTGCACTTATTATTTTCTCATACTCAACCCTCTCCTTCATCTTTCCCACCACCACTGATTTCGTCCTCTATCCTCTCCTTCTTCCTCCCCACTTTAGTTCTCTGTCTTCTTCCTTTTCCTCTTCAACATCTATTTAATCGTTATCTAACAAATGCTCCTTACACTTTAGGTTCTCTTCTCTCCTTTTAACCTTTTCCTTCTTCTTACCAACCATTTATTCTCTCGTTCTCTACCCCGGTCATCTCCTCCCCATATTCTCTTCTTTGGTTCTTTCAACATTCCTTCTTCCTCCTCACCTTCTCTTCTCTCGTTCCCTCCCATTTCCTCTTTCTACCCTCTTCATTATCGCCATCATCTTTTCTTTCGTTCTTTACTTTCTCCTTCTCCCTTCCCGCCTACTTTCACTTCAATCGTATTCTATCCACTCCTTACAACCGACATTGTTTTTTCTCTACCCTCTACTTCTTCCTGTCTACCTTCTCTTCTCGCGTTCACTACCATCTCCTTCTTCTTCCGGTCTCTACCCTACCCTTCTTCTTCCTCTCCATTTTCTCTTATCTCGTGCTTTACCTTCTTCTCCTGACATATTTAAAATTCCTTCTCGTTCGCTGCCTTTCCCAAAAAACAGTCCACACTATTCATCTTTATTGCATAAAACTATATTTTGTATATCAATGTGTAGCGTAGAGTTTATTGTCAGGGAAAGTGGGATTGAAGTGTCGAGTTCAAATTCAAGCCGAGGCCTTCATCTCATGGCTAATACCAAGGCAGACTTTGGTCTTCATCTTCTGGCCAGTAACAACTCAGAATTCACTATCGGCTCTCCGTTGTGCTAGCAGATCTGTACTAGAAAAAAAGCCCCCCACTTTTGACGGAAACCACAGTAGAATTAAAATCTTGTTTGTTGAGGCTGTGTATTATGTATATATATATATATATATATATATATATATATATATATATATATATATATATATATATATATATATATATTTAATCAATTCGTTCAAACCAAACCAACACTTCCAATAAGACGCTATAGGCTACTGTGTGTGAGCGAGACTGAAAGTCTTTAAAAGGAATCGAAAATCGAATACTAAACAAGGAAATAAGTATAAAATAGGTATCTCCACTATTTCGGCATAAATTTTCTATATTTAAGTTTAAAATGAATTTTTTATAACGAAAAAACATTCTTGAAGATTTTATTTTAGCTTTAAAAAATGTTTAATCATTAAATTTATGATTTCCATTAATTAAACAATTCTGGTGTATTTCAGATAGAAACTATATACATTTGATTGTCAAATTTAATTTCAAATTTTTAAATTTTCTTAAAATCGGCCATTTTCTTAATTTTAAGAAATTTGTAAACAAACACAAATTTATCGATTTTGAAAATATTTAAAAAAAATTCTGACACGTTATTTTAGTAAAATTAAAAACTTTAAAGTTAAAGTAATCTGATTTGAAAGAAATCTTTCTTACTTATAGCATAAAAAATAATATACAACCAATTATTAACGAGCGGTCCTGTTCATCTGATCAAACTACTGATGGATTGTTGAATGACGAACCGATGACAGCTACTACTGATGACCATAAGTGACATAATTTTTCAGTCTGAGTTTTTTAAAAAATTATTCTATTTGAGTATGACACACACTAATGGAAATACAATACATAAAATAAAATTATTTAGTGAAATAGTAAATGAAAAAAAGAAAAATTACTTTAAAATTTAAAGTTTACACTTTTAAAGCTGAACGGAAAATACAACCTGTAAGAAACGAAATGTTATGAAAAGGCCACGTAAAGGGACACAACCCTTATATCACGTGACTTTGTTATAATAATGGCAATTTCTGAATATCATACATGGAAATAAGGAATGTATTAAGTAAAAAAATACAACATAAATTATTTTTTTTAAAAAAGTAGCGCAACTAAATTTATTAAACTTAGCAATTTTAGACTCGTAATTTTTTTTTTCCACTTAATTACTACATCACCTCGAGGAACCCTCCTAATACAGAGCTTTAAACGATTTTAAAATATTATAAATTATTATAATTAAAGTTTCTTAAAAAACGAAAACATTCTTGTAAAAATTAATTATTCATCAGAAAAACATTATTTCTTCAGACAATAATGTCCTTAATATTACTTATTTACAAAAGCAATTAAAAGCTTTTCTAATTAAAATAATATCATAATTTTATTAGTTCATTATCTTTCAATTCAAAGAATATTTTTCAGTTAGATAGCTCAAATTTGAAAAAAAAGTAGGTTATTTACCATCTTCGAAGACTCCAACCTTTAACGAAAAAAAAAAAATTCAAGAACCAAAAATTTTTTTGGCGAAATTTCATTAAATTAAATTAATGGTGGATAACATATTTTTAAAAAAATATTTTTACCAATATTTTCTAAAAAATTTTCCAAAATAATTACATTCATTTGTGAATAAGTCCTAAAATTTCATTAAAATCAGACAATTATTTGATTTTTTACAAAATTTCCAAATCAATGTTTTCAACGGAAAAAATGCAAAAAAAATGTAATTTTCTGTCACGCCCGATGTCGTAAACAAAACAAGATTTTAAGTAAAATTTCGAGCGTGTTAGAAAGGATTAAAAATTTCAAAAAATAATCAAAAAATACTTTCGTCTTTCATCTTAATAATAACATTTCTTTAGATAAAACATTACTTTTATTAAGTTTGTGGCATTTTTTTCATTGCTATATGCTGTTTTCCCGCGAAAAAGTGAGGTATGCTATCTTTAATAAACATGTATCTGTTTAAAAGATTGGGATTAAATGCAACGGGCGATATGAACCTGTGTGTGTTTATAAAAATACAGATATAAATAAATTATGTTTATTGATTTAAAATAATCTTTATTTACCTATATAATTATATTACTTATTAAAATCATATATAAAAATTATTTAGCTTCTTATAATCATTATAATATATAACCTAACGATTAAACTTAGCCTTTAACTCCTCTTTGCACAAATATTGCTATATAACGTAACCCTCTACCTATAGAGGCCCCTATAGTAAATAATATTATATACCCAGTATAACATATATATATATATATATATATATATATATATATATGGCCTATATATATATATATAGTGTGTAATATATATATATATATATATATATATATATATATATATATATATATATATATATATATATATAATATATCCTGTTATATATATATATATATATATATATATATATATATATATATATATATATAATATATATATATATATATATATATATATATATATATATATATATATATATATATATATATATATGGCCTCCTTGTGAACCTGTGTAATATATATATATATATGAATATGATATATATATATATATATATAAAAAATGAACCTGTGTATATATATATATATATATATATATATATATATATATATGTATATATATGAATCTATATATATATATATATATATATATATATATGTATTTGTAATATAATTTATTACTATCAAAGAAAATAATACCTCATATTAATGAATTTTTTTAAAATGAAAAAATTGTGAAGCTTTTGTTTTAATTTCAAGCTAAAATATTAAATTTAATATTTCAAATCAATAAAATACTTTGCTGTATTTCAAAACATAAAATTGATTGGAATGAGCTCTTTTGTTTAAATAACTGATTTTAACCATTTTTAGCCAGCTATCACACAATATAATTCTCCTTATTAAAATTAAATTAATAATAATTATTAATTAATAATTATGTAAGAAAGTGTAGACACGAAATAATACATTTGCGCGTAAAAACTAAATACGCTTTATATACATCAAATTATGTTTATACATTTCATATGTGTCTTTCAAATGGACAATCTAAAAAAAAACAGCAAAAAAAAGCTCAATTCTTACCAGAATTTTTGAATTAATTTTTTTCTTCAATTTATGTTGGTTGTTGGCGACTTGAATATAGCCGTTGGCCACTTTTTTAAAAAGACGCTGAGAGTGTGTAGGTTTTATAGATATGAAGTGAGTAGATATGTATTGTTAAATTTTTAAGAACGATTACATGACGCGGTGAGCATGTGTGTCTGTAAGCCCCAACAAAGATCTCCGCACTTTTTCAGTCGGATTTACGTGTTGTGCAAGAAGTATGTAGCCTTCCTGGCGTCCAACAGGAACAATTCAG